CCCTTCATCACATCCCACTGTGGGCTGGTCAGACATGGATTTCCTCTTCACACCTTGCTACAAAGCAGCGACCTGCAGGCATAGCAGCCTTTTTGGGATTTTCCCTCTGCTGTTGGTGGAGAGAGGGAGGCTGGAGAGCACAAAGCCACCAGAGTCCTCCCAGGCTGCACTTCTCCCAGCAGAGCCAGGCTTAGGAAGAAAGGTGACCAAAACCAAGACAGAAGAGTTGTGTGGGGTTTTTGACAGCTCTGAGTTCCCTGTTCCAGGCTGGGAACAGCCCAGGACAGCAGGACAGGAACTTCTGAGCTCTTTGCATGGAGCCACTTCAGCCTCTGTCTCCTCCAGGATGGGCCTCAGGGATCATCAACTCCTGCACATGACATCCCAACATTCCCACTCTATGCAACTCAAATTCTTCCTGATCATGGCAAAAATTCTCATTTCAACAGTCACAGGGCTTCTTTGGGGAAAAAAATCTTGGCAAAAGAAGGAAATTCCTTGTGCTACTCAGGTGCTCCCAGGACTGAGAATTGATCCCTTATTTTACCTTTGCATCTGCTCCTGCTGGAATTCAGACACAGAACTGGGCTGAGCTGGGGGAAAAGGAGATTTTTGGGATGCATCACCCCAGGTTATTTAACACAGGGTTTGGTGTAACCCCAAATGCATTGTGTAGATGGAATAAATGGAATATTTGGGCTCTGGAGAGGCTGGCACTGCTGGCAGCTCCTGCTTCTGCTCCTGCTGGGGCTGCATTGGGCTCTGCAAACAGGAGCAGGCACAGGAGATGATTTTTCCCTCCCTGGCACTGCTGGGGTGCCCACGCACTTGAGATTAATTTCCCCATCATTCCAGCAGTTCTTTTGATTCTGGCCACTCACAATATTAATATTATTATTATTATTATTATTATTATTATTATTATTATTATTATTAGCTCCTGTTTTTCCAGGGCCAGCTATTGTAGGATTAGAACACAGCAACTGCCCCTGTGTGTGTGTAGATGCATAAATAAGGAACTGGGAATCAAATAAAAGAAAGACATTGGATATTTTTTTTTTTTTGTCTCTGTCCCCTTCTAGCCTTTCACATTCACATAAAAAAGTCCTGGAAGGAAAAGGCTTGGAGAGAAGCAATGGGAGAAAAGTTTGCAAAGGGCAAAATCAGTGGGACCCTGCAGAACAAACATGTGTAAAGGCTTTGTTTCAAAGTGGATGAATGCAAAAGCCTGTTGGGGATAATTTTTAGGCTTTGCCTATTTTGAAAGGGTTGAGGATCAGGAGTAAAGTGAGAAAACAATTCTCTGTAGGAAGCTGTAGCAGACTAAATGGAGCTTGTTGTTGTTGGCAGGAGCCGTGATGCTGAGGGCAGCAGCATCGTTACTGAAGCTGGAGGCAGCAGAGGTTTAAATAAATAAGGAGAGATCCCTGAACCGAGATAAAACCGGGATCTCACTGTGCTGGGTCCTGCCGTGCTCGGAGCAGGGAGGGCTGGCAGGGTGTGAGTAAAGGGAGATGAATGAGGCTGATCACATCGGGCTCAGTTCCTTCTCCTGCTCGGGGCATTGGGAATTAGGGACAGAATTCCCCGGGAATGGGGAGTTTATCTGCTCATCTGCACAGCCAGGCATCGCCCCACGGAGGGAATTGGGGAATGGCACAGCCAGGAAGCTCCTGGGCTCTGCTCAGAGCCCCAGCCCACAGCTCAGGGATCTTTGCTTTTGCTTCCAGTTCATGCCTTGAGAGGGCTGAGCTGGAACCAGAACTGGGAAAATAGAAAGCTAAACCTGAGGCATCACAGTGGAAACCAAAGGGGAGAAAAGTCCCTTTTCCATGGCCCTGCTCAGTAGCAAAGCTCCATAAAAGCACTGGGATTATTCCAGGCTGAGGCCAGCATTAACACAGGATTCCTCCCCAGCTCTCCCCTGCAGCTCAGCAATATCAGGAACAATAAAAACCCCATTAAAAACCCCATTAAATCCTTGCACGAGCAGCAGCCTGCAAGAGGTGCACTCAGTGCAGGAAGGATTTGAGAAATTCTTCAAACATTCCCCAAATCCAAGCCTCACCCAGCAGAGGTTGGGCATGTCAAGGGCAGGTGATAAGAGCCTGGCCTGGGTAGGGAATCACTGGTCACAGCCAAACCCTGCAAAGAAACATTTTTGCAAATTCTGTCCACTGGATTATCCTCCCACTCCCAGGAAAAACTCATGGGAAGGCTGCTCCGGACAAAATTCCCAGGAAAAAGGGAGAGCAAAGCAGGAAAGAGGGGGCAGGAACAACCTGCCCCTGCTCTGGGGTGAAAACAACAGGGCAACTGCAACATATCCAGGTAAAATATCCCAATTTTCCCTGTTCTGAGGGAAAATCCTGGCTCTTGATTAAGGATCTGGTTTGCAGAGGTGGAAGTTAAGCAGGAAAAAGAAAAAAAAAAAGTGGGGAGGATTTGCATCCATATTTAAGAAATTCAAAATATTCCTCTACATTTTCATGTTGGAACGTTTGCTAAATTCCCTTCTCCTGGAGTAAACTTGGAGGGGAAAAAAAAATCAAAATAGTTAAGAAAAGAATTCTTCTTATCCTGGTTTTCTCCTCCAGCCTCTGCCACTGAGAATACATTTTGAAACAGTAAAAGTTGAGATAAAATAGTAAAGAATGGCAGTTCCCTGTGCTTTTTCTGTTCCCTTTTGGTGGCTCTTTTCTTTTAATTGATGAGGCAATATTTCAAATAGAACCCAAAATGATATTTTTAGTGGCAGTCTCTGCTCCAGGACACTTTTCCTCATGGTTCCCTTGCCCAGGGCTGTCCTTGGTGCTCAATGCAGCCCCAGCAGGAGCAGAAGCAGGAGCTGCCAGCAGTGCCAGCCTCTCCAGAGCCCAAATATTCCATTTATTCCATCTACACAATGCATTTGGGGTTACAGCAAGCCCTATGTTAAATAACCTGGGGAGATGCATCCCAAAAATCTCCTTTCCCCCAGCTCAGCCCAGTTCTGTGTCTGAATTCCAGCAGGAGCAGATGCAGTTATGTGTTATATACAGTAAATAATATAAAATCAATAATATATAATAAATAATAATTTAGACAATTATATAATGCATAATTCCCTATAACCCCACTGCCACACACCTGATTCCTGGGCCTGCGATCAGCAGATCCTGTTGGAATTCCTGGGATCAAAGCATCCTGTTTGTAATTCCTCTGGGTAAATCAGAGCGCTCAGGGCTGGATAAAGACGCTTTGGTTCAGCAGGAAAATGGAATTATTTTTACAGAAGCCAGCGAGGGAGGCTGGAGCCACCGATTTGGGATGATTACAATGAACAAAAAAAGTCAAGGCTGGAAGTGTTTATTTTAATTTAGGGGGCATGGCGAGCTGCTGAGGTGGGAAGATATTATTTTTATGGATTTAATCAGATGGTTTGTGGGCATTGCTAATTGAAATCTGTCTGCCTCGCCTCAGGTTCTGTGGGGCTTTTCTCCCCGTGGCTGGGAGGCAGAAGAAAAGCAATTATTTAGGCTGGGGAGGGGAACCAGGAACTGGGAGAGGTTTGGGGATAAAAAGAAGAAAAGAGGAGGGAAATTTCAGTCTCTGGATGGAGCTGCCTCAGCTTGGAACCCATTTCTGTGCCCTGAGGTAAATAAAGGTCAGCAATAACTGGGGGGAGAGGCAGAGCAGGACTTCCAGAAGGATGCTCAGGATGTCCCAGCACCTGGAAAATTATGTCTTGGGAGTTTCAGCAATTCCCAGGAGTTGCCTTTCTCCTTTGAAGCGCCTCTGAGAGCCAGGTGAATCCTGGACCTCCCAGGACACCTCATTTTTCACTGGGAGGACACTGATGGTCCAGGACGCAGGAGAAGGCAGCAGAAGCACCCAGGCAAGCTGAACACTCAGCAAGATGTCAGCTTGATTGAAATTTGGCCATTCCAGGTAGCCCTGCAGATTTTCCCCAGTGGTTTTCACCACTGAGCACCCCACACACCCAAAAAGAGAAACCAGGACTAAGGTTTTTTTAAAAAAAAAAATCCCACCCACAACCTGCCCGTGGATGAGCTGAGAGGGTTCAGGGTTTTTTTTTTTTCTTTCATTGTTTGTTTTGTTTGTGGCCCCACACACCCAAAAAGATAAACCAGGACAACTTTTTTTTTTAAATCCCAACCAAAACCTGCCCGTGGATGAGCTGAGGAGGTTCAGGGGTTATTTTTCTTTCATTGTTTGTTTTGTTTGTGGCAGAGGGAATTCCAACCAAACGGTTGCATAGGGTGGGAATGTTGGGATGTCACGTGCAGGACTCAATGATCCCTGAGGCCCATCCTGGAGCTCAGGAAATTCCCTGATATTCCTTATATAGGATAATATAGGGAATATATAATATATAATTATAGGGAATATATAATTATAGGGAATATATAATTATAGGGAATGCAGAGGGAATTCCAACCAAACCAGCTGATGAAGAACAGCCCCAAAAATGCAACTTCTTGCCTGTGCCCCATGATGTCACCCCAAAGCCACCAGGCAGGGTGTAAATATCCCCCAGGCAGGGGGCAAACGTGTCAGGCTCACGTAGGAGCCAGCCCCGAGCAGAGCAGTCCAAAAACACCATCTCCAAATATTTTCTATATCATAATTATACAAAATGAGTGGAAATTTCTGCCCCCCTTCCCCCCAGCCCCAAAAACACGGCCCATTATGAGCCCTGCCAAGTCTGCAGGAACATAAATAACATTGCAGGCTCTTTGTGCCGGCCAGGAGCTGGGAAGTGGAAAAATGATTGAGGGACAAGTGGTTTTTAAGATCCCCCCGAGGCCTGTAAGTTACCTGTTTATTTCAAGAAGAGCTGCAACTGCCAAAAGGAAAGGGAAGGAGTTCCTGGAGTTGCTATCATGGTCTGTTTCCAGGGATTATTTCAAAATAAACAGGGATTGAGTCTCTGCTTTGCTGTTCAGTCAATATCAGTGGGGGTGAGCAGGGGATGGGGTGATCCAGGACGGGCTCACCTGAGCTCAGGGGTGGCAACGAGCCTGGAGCAGCCAGGTGGGGTCTCCAGGGCCAGGAATGACCAGGAATGTTCCCTTTGGCCCCAGGAGAGGCTCAAAAATGAGAATACCTGGTGAGGAGACAAAAAGTGCCCAGAAATCCAGTGGGGAACCCCACACATCAGCATCCCCCAGCTCCAGGGAGGTCAAATAATCCTCTTTTTTCTGCTTGAAACACCTCGGTTGGAAGGGAAATGGTCATAATTGACTTTTTTAATTGAAGGGAAAAGTTGTGAAGTCATCAGGAAGGATATTTCAGACTGATAAAAGTGAGGAAGGGAAGGGAAGGGAAGAAGAGAAGAGAAGAGAAGAGATTCCTTCATCTCACAGCTCACAGGGAGAAATCCTTTAAAAACTGCAAGGCTTTAATTTTTTCATAACAAATCCATCTTTTAGACCAGATTTATTTGCGGCACTCTGGTGTGTGTCCCAGAAACATCTCTGGGAGCATTAGAGCCAAGCTAAAATGACATTTTTCCCTTCCAGCCCAGGTGCCAGCCCCAGTGATGCAATGCAGGTAATATGGGAAACGATGAGTGACGCTGTAATTGCAGAGGATCCCTGCTTGGGAAAGAGAAATTGGAGTTGGAACAAAATAAAAACAATACCAGGCAAATAAACCAGAGAAATTTCTTCCTGAAACTGCAGAATAAAGTGCTCCTGATAAGCTGCCATGAGGTTAAGAAGGAATATTGAGGGCTGGCTGGGTGTTTGAAGGTTTTCTCTTTGCCTTTCTCAAGGATTCTCTGCTGGATCCAGGAACTTTCACCTGGCATAGAGGGAAGCTGTCAAACAAGTTCATGCACAGCCCAGGTGTCTGCAGTTCCCATTTTCTGAGGCACCCCAAAGCCCAGGCAGCTCCAGCTGCCTTGTCTCATTCCTGCCCAGATGGCAGCCCCGATAGTCCTTCGTTATCTCCACATCTCTGTGCCAACTCAATTAAAGCCTCCCCAGATTCTCATCTAATGAACACAGCTAATGAGTGACAGAAGATCATTAAGAAATCTGAGGCACCCAGGAGGGGGATCCAGAGGCAGCTCAGGGTTGGAAACTTCCTGCTCCAGAAGCAAACCCAGATTTTCCCCACTGGGATAAGGAGAAGTGGGATAAAAAATCCAGAAGTTCAAAAAATCCAAGGCTGCGGCTGCTGAAGAATGATGGGAATGGGAGCAGCAATAATGTCCATGAGGTTTCCTTTAACCCATCTGTTGGTGGGAGCTGTCTGGGCTCTCCAGATAAAATGGATAAAATCCTGCCTGAGCCTTGGGAAATTCTCTTCCCAAGAGCTCTGCTCATTGCCTGCCTGGTCTGTGCTGGGAGCTGCTGAGGGAGCTTCACCTCCTTCCCTCTCCTCATCTCCCCACATTGTCATTTCTCTTCATCTCAGCAGGGGTTTGGGCTGTGTTTGGAGCACAGAACCTGGAGGGTGAGTGGATAACCCAGGGCATTACTCCAGGTGTGTGTTAATTACCCCCAGCCTCGTCAGCAGAGCATTGGTGCTCTCAGACAAGTTTTACAAGGACTTGTGGCTGTTCCCTCCCTGCTGGGGTCAAACACACACAGAAGGGCCAAGCACCCACTGAAAAGAACTGAAAATTCTCCAAAATATTTGAAGTTAACCCTGAAGTGCTGGAGAGAAAGAACCATCCAGAGAAGGCTGAGTGTGGATAAAAAGAGCTGAAAGATTCTCATTATTTAACTCAGATCCCTCACGGCTGGTTTGGAATTCCTTAGTGGACAAGATTACTGATCCTGCTGAGAACTCCTCTGAATTTGGCTGTTGGGGTCAGTCTGGTTCCTTTTGGGATTCATGGAGGGCTTTTTTTTAGTTCATTATGAATCTTCACCCCTTTGTTCTGCTGGGCTCAGCGGAGGAACCTTCTGACCATGGGCAGAGAGCTCCAGGCAGAACCTGCTACTGCACATTCCTTGGGAAAACCTGCTCTCCCTTTGCCTTTGGCCCTAAAAATGCTTGGGGAAGGGCCACATCCCTCTAACTGCTGCTGGAGTGGCCCACAGGAGATGTCTCCCAAAGCCTGGTGAACTCCAACCTCCCACCTGCACCCAAAAGACACCTGAAGCCTCATTTTTCATGCATAAAAACAAAATTTCAGCCTCCACCCCTTTTCCAGAAGCACATCCCTCTGTGGGGCTGCCCTGGCTGTGCCACTGACCTGCAGCCTGCATTCCTGCTCAGCGTGCCTCCGTGTTTTCCAAAGGCAGTGGAAATTTTGTTTTGGAAACACCGCCGGGAGGGCAAACAGGAAGCAGGAAGGACTTTTTCAGCAGGGCAAGAACCTTGAAGGCAGTGCTGCTTCCAGTTTTTTGGGCTCCAGCCCACGAATGGGTTTTGCAACAGCAGCAAGATACGAGTGGTGAGGTCAAGAGCAAAGCAAACACGGAGCAGGCACAGAGAGCGAGGCTGAAAATCACTCGGAGTGTGCTCCACGCAGCCAGGACGCCTGGAAAAATAAAGAGAGATGCTGAACAGCCCCTGCAGTGCAGCTGTGTTATTGACAGATGGGATTAAGGGGTGGGAGTGCTCCGAGTGGGATATTTTTTGTACAAGCACATCGCCTTTGTTTATTGTAATTTGGATTTTTAGTTATTTCTGCCGAGGCATTCGGGGACCTCTTCCCCCGGAGCGCACAACCGGCTGTTTGTTCTTGTTCCTGCTCCTGCTGCTGCTGGATTTGGGCATGTTGGAGGGGTTCAGCAGGGCTCTGAGGGAATGCTGCAGCTCAGCCTGGCTGCTCAGCACATCCCAGGGCTCACAAGCACCAAAATGAGATTTTTTTTTTTCTTCCTTTTGCAAGACAAGAGGTTTGAGGAAGGAGCAGCACCAGCAAGGTTCTGCTCCTGAAGCCCAGCTCAGCACATCCCGGGGCTCGCAAGCAGCAAAATGAGATTTTTTATTTCCTTTTACAAGGCAGGAAGTTTGAGGAGGGAGCAGCACCATCAAGGCCCTGTTCCTAAGCCCAGCTCAGCAGAACCCAGGGCTGGGAAGCAGCAAAAAGGGAGGATTTTTGGCCATTTGCAAGGCAGGATTTTTGAGGAAGGAGCAGCACCAGCAAGGCTCTGCTCCTGCAGTCCAGCTCAGCACATCCCAGGACTGGGAAGCAGCAAAAGAAGATTTTTTTTTATTTCCTTTTGCAAGGCAGGAAATTTGAGGAAGGAGCAGCACCAGCAAGGTTCTGCTCCTGAGCCCAACTCAGCAAATCCCAGGGCTCACAAGGAGCAAAATGAGATTTTTTTTTTTTTTTCTTCCTTTTGCAAGTTGCGAAGTTTGAGGATGGAATGGCTCCATCAAGGTTCTGTTCCTGCAGCCCAGCTCAGCAGAACCCAGGGCTGGGAAGCAGCAAAATGAGATTTTTTTATTTCCTTTTGCAAGACAAGAGGTTTGAGGAAGGAGCAGCACCATCAAGACCCTGCTCCTGAGCCCAACTCAGCAAATCCCAGGCCTCACAAGCAGCAAAATGAGATTTATTTTTCCTTTTGCAAGGCAGGAAGTCTGAGGAAGGAATGGCACCACCAAGACCTTGCTCCTGCAGCCCAGCTCAGCAGAACCCAGGGCTCAGAAGCAGCAAAAAGGGAGGATTTTCATCCTTTTATAGGGCAAGAAGTTTAAGGAAGGAGTGGAACTGCCAAGGCCTTGCTCCTGCAGCCCAGCTCTGCAAAACCCAGGGCTGGGAAGCAGCAAAATGAGATTTCTTTTTTCTTTTGCAAGGCAAGAAGCTTGAGGAAGGAGCAGCACTAGCAAGCAGTACAGGAATAAATGTCCCTGTGACCTGGTGGCCAGGGAGCCCCCATGGACCCCTCATGCTGAAGGAGATTTTCCTTCATCCCATCCAGCATTGCAGGCAGGGAGGGAAGGGCTTTTTCATCCCTTCATTCCATCAATTCATTGGATTTAACACTTATTTTCATCCCTTCATTCTGTGAACTCATTGGATTTAAGACTATTTTCCCAGCTCTGGAGCTTTCACAAGGCTCCTGAAAAGATGCAGTGATGTTTTTTCACCCTAACACACCTTGAGACTGGCTCAAGGTTTTTAATCCTGACAGAATTCCCTGTCTCTATTTCCTCGGGGGTCAGTCAAACCTTTCCTCTGGAGAAAATGAGGATTTGAGGGTGTACAGGACAGGATTGAGGGTTATTCCTTTTAAACCCATCTCTTTGTATCCAAATCCTCATTTTCTTCACCTTCCAGTACCATGTTGGGCATGAAGAGTTTTATTTACCTGCCTGATATTCCATGACAAGCAGCAAGACATAAATCTGGTCTTTTCCAGCCTGGAAAAAGGTAGATTTTGGTAAATTCTTTACCCCTGGAAAAGGGTAAATTCTGCTGGTCCGAGTGGCCAGCAGTGCAGCCTGCACTCCTGGGGCATTGCTCCCCTCCACCCCCAGCTCTGCTCTCTCCCTGTGCCATGTCCTGCAGCAGCACAGGAGTTCCTTGAACATTTCCAGTGTATTTCCAACTGTTCTTGGCTCCTGCCCCCTCTCCCAGGCCCAAACAAAATGTTTCTCCATGGTAGGCTGTCAGTGGAGCTCAGGGAAGCAGGGAAAGCAGCTCTGATTTCAGATCTAATTTGCTGTAAAATGAGAGGCGGCGAAGAGAGGAGTCCTTTTTAATTAGAAAAATAGGAAAAAAAAATCAGAAAAAAAGGGGACACTTCAGCCGGTACCGAGTTTCTGTGCAGTGCAGGAGCTTTCATGCATGGAGCCCAGCCCTTGCTGCTGCAGAGGCTGAAATTTGATCAATATTGCTCTGCTTTTATTGCCTTTTCTCTTCCGAGTGCTTTGGATCAGCTCCATCCTCCCCAGCTCCTGGCAAATGAGAGGGACACAGGAGCAGAGGGCCCAGGGTGACAAGAGAAAGGGACACAGGGACTCAATTCCCTCCAGCATCATTTTTCCATGCTGTCCAACCAGCCTTTTAACGGGACTTTTCTACCCAAAAAGCTTGGCATCTTGCAAAAACTTGGATGGCTCAAACCAGCAGCCCATGGATATTTCTGAGTGAGAAAGGGGAAAATTAAATATTAAAAGTTAAAAATTAGAGCTTAAAATTAAAGCTTAAATTCTAAATTTTAAATTTTAAAACTTAAAATCTACAAATTAAAACTTAAGACTTAAAAATTAAAAATTAACAAAGGAGAGAATTCTCCAGGGATTGATCAGACTTGTGTGGCTCTCTCAGGACTGGAGCACGCAATTTAGGGATGTGAGGCACAACCAACCCCTCTGTCCCTAAGGACAGGCACAAAGAGCAGCCAGGCCCAGAGATCTCTGCAGGGAAAAACACCTGAAATATCTGTACTTAAACCATGAAATATCTGCAGTGAAACACTGAAATATCTGCACTTAAACTCTGAAATATTTGCACTGAAACCGTGAAATATCTGCAGTGAAACCTTGAAATATTTGCAATGAAATACCGAAATATCTGCATTGAAACATTGAAATACCTTCACTGAAACACTGAAATATCTGCACTTAAACTCTGAAATATTTGCACTGAAACCTAAAATATCTGCATTGAAGTACTGAAATATCTGCATTGAAACATTGAAATATCTGCAAACACTGAAATATCTGCACTAAAACCCTGAAATAACTGCAGTGAAACCCTGAAATATCTGCATTAAAACCCTGAAATGTGTGCACTGAAGTCCTGAAATATCTGCACTAAAGCCCTATAATATCTGCATTGAAATACTGAAATATCTGCATTGACACCCTGAAATATCTGCAGTGAAAGCCTGAAATAGCCCCGGCAGACCAGCCAGCCTTGTGAAACACTGAAATACCTGCACTAAATCCTGAAATATCTGCATTGAAACCCTGAAATATCTGCAGTGAAAGCCTGAAATAGCCCCGGCAGACCAGCCAGCCTTCTCCTAGCAAGACCAGGCTTAGTCCAGCCCAGATCAGGCCAAGTGTGGACTTGGGCACCTGGGCTGCTGTTGTGACATCTCCAGCCAAGGCAGCACTTGAGGGTCTGCCCGTGAAAAAACAAACAAGAAAATGGAGATTTGCAAGAAACCCTCACTCCTGAATCAGGCTGCTCCTTCCTCCCCCAAAGCTGGGTCTCAATTAATGGAAATATTTATTTGGGTGACTTGCAGATGATGTCTCTGGCCAATTAGCTCCATCCCAATGTTCTATTTCTTGCCTTTGAATCAATAAACAGTTCAAGATTTCCTGGAGTCGGAGCAGCAGCAGCAGTGCCAAGAGCTGGGGGTGGATTAAAACCATCCCTACAACAATACCCCTGACCAGGGAGCTCTGCTAATCACTCCCTTGTTTGGCCGGGTGTCTGGCAGAGCTGCAAGTCTCTGACACCCCAAAAGAGGAAACCACAGCTTACAGAACCCAGGAAAAACATTTCCTCGCCTCCAGGTAGCCTTTGTTCTCCCTGCCTCCTGCCAAGCCCTTCTCCTCAGCACCACATGCCTTGGATGCCTCCATGGGGTTGGAGTGTGGGGCTCAGGAGGTGGATGGGGATGAGTGAGGGATTATCTGCCATTTATCTTTCATTTAACAGGGGAAAAAAACAGCAGCAGAAAACAGGACACCGCGTTCCTGTCTGTAATTTGGGCAAATTATTCCAGGTTGCTTTCAAAATCAGGCCAGAATTTGTGTGTGCACACCACGGACTCTGTGCCATGCATGGGAGGAAGGAGGGGAAGGAGGACACAGAATCAAAATTCGGGACAGAATTTGTGTGTGCACACTGCTTGTGCCATGCATGGGAGGAAGGAGGACACAAAATCCAGATTTGGGACAGAATTTGTGTGTGCACACTCTGCTTGTGCCATGCATGGGAGGAAGGAGGGAAAGGAGGAAGGAATCCAGATTTGGGACAGAGAACCCCACAAGGGCAGCCCTTTGTCCCACTGTTGGGACCTCCCAAGCTGAGCAGCAAACCTGGGAGGATTTTTAGCTGTGAAGGTTTTTCCCCAGCTGAAATTGGGCTGTAGAGCAGCAGCAGCAGCAGCAGGGCCGAGTGTTGCTGTGTGCAGCTCAGCTCCAGAGCCCAGAAAGCTGCTCCAGCCTGGAGCTCCTGGCCATGGAAATGCAGCTCCTCTCCATGGAATTACTGCTCTGGGCCCGAGCCACGGGAATGCAGCTCCAGGGGCTCCCCTGCACGCTGCACACCCAGCACGCCCAGCTCGGGGCTCCCACAGCCTCTGGGTGCCTCAGGATTCTATATTTTGGCTTTTACGTATTTAT